TGAACTTTGTTTATGTTTCCTTGTGTAGCTTGCTTTTCTCCTGTAGCATCTGTACTTTTAAGATATATCTCTATCAGTTGGCATATGCAGCTCTAATCTCTTCATTTTAAACTTCCATATACGTAATGCTCAATTGTTGTGATTTCCCCTTATTTGAATTATCCATTCTCATGAAGGTGAACATGTAAATTGCTTTATTACTGTAAACACTATATGCTCATTGTTTTTTTGTTTTTTGTTTTTTGTTTTTCTGTTTTGGTGCTGCAGAATTTAGAGCTTCACATATGCTAGGCAAGAGCTCTACTACTGAGTTGCACACCCAGGCCTATTGCTGTTCTTACGTATGTGACTCTCGCTCATATGCAAGATTGCCTGTGAGGTATATGCCCATGAGTATGGTTATTTACTTGGCAAGTAGCCACATCGTCAGTCTTACCAGATTTTCCAAGGACTTTCCACCAATCTATGCTCTTGTTAATATGAAGTATAAATTCCTGTTTCTCCACATCCTTGCTAACATTCGATATTGTCAGCCTTCTTATTTTTGCCTATCATATGGATGCAAAATTCTATCTCATGGGTTCTTTAATTATATTTCCCTGATGGTGAGGTTGAATATCTTTTCATATGTTACCTAAATATTTGGGATTCTTATTCTGTGAATTATCTATTCACATCTTTTGCTCATTTTCTATTGGACTATTTGCATTTTTAAAAGTAAGTTTATGGACATTCTTCATATCTTCATGTCAGGAGTTTTGATTTTTAATGTGGCCAAATTAACCTATCTTTTATGTTCACATTTGTACTTTTTTATCTTATATAAGAAATCATCCTCTACCTAAAATCACAGGATTGCTTTTTTATATATTTTCTCTCAAACATATCAAAGCTTTGCCTTTTAAATTTAGATCTGTAATCCATTTGGAGCTTTTGTTTACAGGGTGTGAGAATCCTAATTCTATATATTTTAAATTCTTTTTTTTTTGTCATGTAGTAATTCTATTTGATGGGATGTTCTATTGAGCACTAGAGAAATGTTTTCTTGGGCTACAGACTATGTTAT